ATAATATAACAGTAAAAGGCTAATCACTGGCGGCACGACCACATCGCCTTCAAAGTCAAATATCTCCGCTCAAACTTGTCGTACGGCAAAACAAATTCGATTACATCTTTTCACAAAGATTTCTCTTTCTAAATAATATGGTTTGATCATAGTTTGGGCAAATTTACCGACGAACGGAACCAAAATCTCATCAATTTCGGATACTGTTCAAAATACTTAGGGCACGCTCGGGCACGATCGTGGACGTGACGTAATCAATACATACTGATAATACCGCCTTACGTGGGGTGGGACAGCATCAAGCGACAAACTATCGTCGGATTTGATATGCTGTCCCACCCCGGGTAAGGCGATATTGTCAATATGTATTGATTACGTCACGTCCACGATCGTGCCCGAGCAGCTCTAAGTATTTTGAACAGTATCCGAAATTGATGAGATTTTGGTTCCGTTCGTCGGTAAATTTGCCCAAACTATGATCAAACCATATTATTTAGAAAGAGAAATCTTTGTTGTATAGATGTAATCGAATTTGTTTTGCCGTACGACAAGTTTGAGCGGAGATATTTGACTTTGAAGGCGATGCGGTCGTGCCGCCAGTGATTAGCCTTTTACTGTTATATTGTATATAGATGAGCACACACAATGTAGGCCACAGAAAATGTTACGTCGACCGCTCTAAATGAGCTCATGGATTAATTAAAAGAATGCAAAGGTATTATACTATCATGTCAACTATATTTTATTGTTAAAATGTATTTATTTGACTAATTTAAGAATGTTTTTAAAATAGTTTTGGTTGACTATAAATTTCTTTATAAAAACCGTTAAAAACCCGCAACACCTGATCATTCATTCTGAGATTGGGCCGCCTGTGCGCTGACATGTAAACAATACTAAACTATATAAAACAGCTCGCAAAACGTCCCAACGAACTCGCCATATTTTAACACTTTCAGGCCGTTGATTCGGATGAAAACCCGGGTCCAGACATCAGAAAATACCCACAAATTGATCACAACTTGTAAAACTGAACGATTCTTAATATTTTTGCAGAAATTCAACAAATTGTGCAAACGTAATTTTCCCACTCCTAATATAAAATAATATGGGAAATGGCACTGGCCACATGCTCGCCGCAATGTATTTGCACCCCCTGAGCCAATGACGTCGGAAACCTTGAATCCCCCTATTGACTGGGGCCCAGTAGCCTGCGTGTCTGGCTCTATGCTTGAAATAGAGTCTGCTACTGAAGTCAATAAAAAGTGGATTTATGCGTACGAATCAAAATTCCCATTTGTCGGAAATTCAATTCAATTCAATTCAAAAGTCTTTTTAATAGATCAAAAGATAAAAATACATATCTTATGTTACAAGTATATATTAAGAATACATTAGTAAAGTTTACATCATATGAATAGGTTATAGTTAAAAATTAATCTATTTGCAAACGACAATTTAAAACGTTCCGTGTTCACTCTTGGATACTGACTAAACTCTGTCCTCAAAGAGTAGCTTGTGGATTTTTTTCTTGGTATCAAGTCGACTATGGCACTCTTCTGATTTACAGAAGCTTTAAAAATATTTCTGTCTTGTATTTCTAAAAGATATCTAATATTTACAGGTTCTGATATATACTTTCGCTTAAAACATCTGTCAAAAAACCGTTGTAGAGTATTGAGTTCGGCTGGAGAAGAACCGTAGACGGACAGGCCAAACGTTATAGTAGATATTACTAGGGTCTTAAATAGATAATCTATCTCACATTGGCTATAGCCTTCTGCCCTGAGTGTTCGTATAACGTACAAGTATTTGTTTGCTTTGACCAATTTACCTCGCACATGGCTGGTGAACTTGAGATTGTCTTGAAAAGTAGTACCTAAAATGGGAAGTTCTTTGCATTGGGGTATATTATAAACATTGTCAAGTTGATCATTATATCCCTTCTTCCGGATGATAAGCTCTTTACATTTACCAGGGTTACAAGTCATAAAATTATCATCAGACCAGCTCAGGAATTGTCCAACTGTATCTGTTGATGTATCAGGACCCTCACTCCAAACTGGCACTATTATATTTGAATCGTCCGCATATTTAAAAAGAGCGTTCTCGCCGTCTATGTCCACCTCTAAATCATTTAGGGAAATATTAAAAAGGTAGGGGCCACTTACGCTCCCCTGTGTTGTACCCTTATTAACATCCATCCATTCTCCACAAAAATCGTTACAAACGACTCTTTGCTTTCTATTCTTTAGAAAATTTAAATACCAATTTATGATATAAGGGTTGAGTGGCACAGTGTAACTGCTTTGCAGTTCGCTCTATCTAAGAAGCTGAGTACTTTGTTCTGAATAGTTAACAGAGCGTTTGTACAACTCCCCCCTGCCTGTACGCAAATTGCGTTGGGGATAAAATTTCCTCAACTGTCGACTTGACCTGACTATTATAAACGAGCTTTTCGAAGGTCCTCGCAATTACAGGTGTAATATTTATTCCACGAAAGTCACCATCTTCCTTTGGTAAATCAACCTTTTGCAAGAGGGTTAATATTCGCTCTTTTCCATGAATCTGGCCAAGTATGTGATGAAAGGGACAAATTCCAGACGTTAGTTATAACTTCGGTTAGAATTTCCGCATGATCATTCCAAACCCAATAGGGAATATAATCGGGACCTGTTGCTGTCCTTTTTATTCTTTTCAAGGCATTCCATACCTGCTGTTCCGTAAAGCTAGGAATATCTACTTCATCACCAATAATTGAGAGCGTCGGT